GACTATTCAGCCTGCATTTTATTTTCTTATTTTTTTTGCCAAAATGTAAGACAGAACATTTATTTGTTGAGATTTGAAATTGCCTTTTGTTTGACCATTCTGATACATAGTCGAGGTCTTTTTGGAGGGTAGTAGTATTGTCTGTGGTGTTGAATAGCTTTACATCATCAGCGAAGAGGATGCAGTTGCTCTTAATATGATCACATTTATATAGAGTATGAAGAGAATTGGTCCTAGAACACTGCCTTGGGGGACACCACTGTTGACAAGTACAGAATTTGATAGGACGTTCCCAATTTTGGCCATTTGTTGTCTGTTTGACAGGAATGCTTCTATCCAGTTATGCAGGTGTCTGGAGATACCATAAGATTTTAGTTTTAAAAGTACTTTGTTGTGTACCACTGAATCAAAGGCTTTATAGAAGTCTATGTAGATTGCTTCTATTGCTTTGCCCTGATCGAGTTGTGTAGTCCATATGTTTTTGCAGTGTAAGAGTTGCAGATTACAGGATAGTTTTTTTCTGAAACCAAATTGTTTTTTAGAGAGTAGGTTGTTTGTCTCTAAGTGGAGGATAATGGATTGGTTAATAATTGATTCCATGACTTTACAGGTGACGCAGCATAAAGAGATTGGTCTATAATTTTCAACTAGTCTGGAGTCTCCCTTTTTGAAGATGGGGATGACCGTGGCTTGTGACCATAGTTTTGGCAAGGAGCTGGTCCTGAAAGATTTTTCAAAGATTATGCTTAGAGGTTTGGCTATGGCAGTGGATAGCTTTTTTAAGAAGTAGGCACATATTCCGTCTAGTCCAATAGATAGAGATGGTTTTAGATTGCGTAGTGCTTTTTCACCATTGTCTTCTGTAAAATTGATATGTATCAGATCATTGTAGTTGTCTGTGGTTCGACTAGGAAATACTGGGCATGATCCATTGCTGTTTATAAATACTGAGCCAAAGAATGTTTTAAAGAGGTTGGCTTTAATGGTGTAATCATTACAGTCTTTACCATTAGGTCCTTTCAGGGGTGGGATGGATCTTGTGTCTTTTAGTTTGTTGTTTACAAAATTGTAGAAAGTGTGGGTGGAATTGGTGCGTAGAAGGTTTTCCTCTTGTTTAACGTGATAATTGGTGCATTCAGTCTTTATCTGGTGGCATAAATTTTTGTATCGGCTTTTGAAGTTGGCAACGTGACCAGATTTGTTTTTCTGCCACAGTGATCTCTTTTTGGATTGAAGCTTCCTTATTGTTATGGGTAATCTGTTTTTTCTGGGTTTTGGAGTTGTTATTGGTATATATAGTTTAATAGTAAAAATACGTTGTAATAGTCTTCAACAGTATTGCATCCAGTGAATATTTACAGTAAATTAATCCAAGAATACTCAATAATTATGAACTTTGAATATGTCTTCAGCTTCTTTAAGTCTGTGAAGAATTCTCAGGGCTGTTAATGTTTTTTCAGTTCAAAGTAAGAAAAAAAGAGGCTTAAATATCTCCATAACACTTCAGTATTTGGATGATACAGAGAGAAACTGTATTAACAGGCTAGTAAGAGAAAATGAAAATCCCCGGGTCCTACCCAACATCAGCCTTGGTTTCAGTATCTATAATGACTATTTTAATCCAAGATACACCTATGTAGCAGCACTGGAATTCCTCTCCAAATAGATTCATCCCAAACTATAAGTATCATCTTTATAATAATCTGGCAGCTGTCGTAGGGGTACCAAGTTCTACTGAATTTCTTGATAGAGCTACCATCATGACACCTTAAAAGTTGGTGCAGGTAAGTTCATTGTGAAAAAAAAGAAGAATGTATTTAGGAGTCTGTACTGGGTCTCCAACCATTCAGTTCATGCAAGAGAGTTTTTGTATATGTATATGTGACTCAAAATAAAATTCAGTTGGAAGATTTCAGCTGAAGTGTCAATTCCAAAAGACATATGCACACATACATATGCACACATATAGCAATAGCACTTATACTTATAGACTTATAAACCACTTTACAGTGATTTAAAGCCCTCTCTAAGTGGTTTGCAGAGTCAGCATATTGCCTTCAACATTTTAGCACATTGCATCCTCATTTTACCCACCTTGGAAGGATGGAAGGCTGAATCACATATTTCAATATAATTAGGAAAATATTATCCTGAGAAATTATTAAAATCAATATAAGTAAGTACGTAAGGGAGGGAAGGGGGTAGGGAGGGGCGAGGGAGAGTGGGAGGGGGTATACAGCTGTAATTTATCTGGTATACAATACAAAGAAAGGCTTTCATAGCAATATTTGACAACAATGTAAACTTTAGTATGAAACCTAGGCCAAGAAAAACTAGTTTCATCGAAAGTCAATCATAACAGTTACTCACATGGTTTATATTAATAATGGTACCATCATCAACAAAAAGAATTCCAAGCTTTCTGGTACATTTTTTACTTAAATATAAACATTTGGTTTAGATATGGATGATTGCTTCCAATGCCCAGAAAATCAGTATCCAGACAATGACCAGGATATATTCCTGCCAAGGCATGTAACTTACCTATCCTTCAAGGAACTTCAAGGAATACTGGTGCTAGGGATTTTCTAGCCACAACACTCCCATCATCAAAGCCAACAACCACAGTCTCTCCTATATCATCCTCATTGCCCTCCTCCTCTCCTTTCTTTGTTCTCTACTTTTCATCGGTCAACCCATGAAGATGACCTGTCATTTGACAGACTGCTTTTGAAATCATCTTCTCGGTGGCCGTTTTTTGCATGTTAACCAAAACCATCATTGTGCTTCTTGCTTTCATCAGGATCAAGGATGAGGACATGGGTTGGGAAAAGTCTGGCTTTTTTCATTGTTCTTTCCTGTTCTCTTATTCAAAATACCTTTTGTACTGTATGGCTTAGATTTTCTCCCCCTTTTCCCAGATTTTGATATATGGTCAATAAGTAGTGAAATAATTATAGAATGTAATGAAGGATCCATTGAAATGTTTTGTTCTGTTTTAGGTTTTATGGGCTTCCTGGCTATAGTCAGTTTTATTGAAGCTTTCTTAGCTAGGAAGTTACCAGACAAATTCCAGGAAACCAAATCAATTACTTTCAGCATGCTGGTGTTTTGCAGTGTCTGGCTGTCCTTTGTGCCTGCTTACATAAGCACCAAACAAAAATACACAACAGCTGTGGAGATCTTTGTCATCTTCACCTCTAGTGCTGGCTCCTGGCTTATATATTTTCCCCCAAATGTTACACCCTTATGATTAGACCAGATATTAATAAAAGGGAGCAATTAACAAAAAGAGTGAATTAAACTATATTGTCAACATTTTTTTCTCCACTGGTGGAAATACAATGGTACCCAGCATTTAAATTCTACTTGACATCATAACACTAGATAAATGGAGAATGTATGGACTAATTCAGGGGTCCCCAACCACTGGTCCGCGGACCGGTACCGGTCCATGGAACAGGTCCTACCGGGCCGCTGGTTTGCTGGGCGCCGCCATCTTTTTTTGATGAAAAAGTGCTTCCGGTGAACTCACCGGAAGCACTTTTTCATCAAAAAAGATGGCGGCGCCCAGCTAATGCCGGTACCGGGCCGCGCCATAAAAAAGGTTGGGGATACCGGGCTGCGGCATAAGAAAGGTTGGGGATCACTGGACTAATTGATAAAAAGTTTACTTTGGATTATTGTTTGAAAAACATTTTTATAAAATGATGTATCAAAGATAGATTAGCTAAAATGTATAGAGAGAGACTTCTAACAAGTATTGGAAATGTAAGAGATAATGGTCTAGATAGTTTTATGAGCTTTCCCCCCTCCTGCCTTTGGCTACTCAAGAGCAGTCCAGGAATGCTTTACAAGTTGACAGTATCATAGAAATGATGTTATTTGTATGTCCTTCACTGGTCAAAATTCAGCATGGCTAGGAATCATCTCTTGGGGACAGTAGAGTTTTTGCTACAAAAGAAATTAATTTTGCAAAAAAAAGCACAAAACAGAAATGCCTCTGTAACTCTTGAGTCATTCATTATCTTCTCTATAATTATGAACTTCTTCAGCAAACTGGGGAATTCTCAGGGCCATTATTACTTCTGGCAGACATTTTAAGCATCTCCTCTGGCCTTCAGAAATAGATGGTCTATAGAGATAGAATTATATCCTAGGCCTGGCATTTACATTTACCTGGCTTTCAATCCATCATTTTGCTCTGCAGTTCAAGGGTGTGCTAATAATAATGTGGGATCCGGGGAAATTTTCCTTTTCACAAATGATTTTCTATGTAGATGTAATTCTTGGTTTCCTCATATTATTCTTCCTCCCTAAGAGCGTTGGCAAAGTTCCCATAGCAAAATGCATGAGCACTCAGCCTGAAACAATTCCTCATAAATATTATCAAGCTGGGGACTTCATTGTTGGCGGTGTAATTTCTCAGACCTTCCTTATATCTGGAAGGATGTCATTCAGATGTCATCCCAGTAATGATGATTTGGTAGTACACATGTGAGGAACTAGCTATTTTAAAACTTCCTCCTACATCTCCTTACTCTTGCTTTTTATTTTCTGCACAAGACATTCTACAGAGTATGATTCTGGTCGCATGTGAAGAACAAAATATTTTTAAAATTATGTACTATACCATCTATTTATTTTTCTTCAGAAAGGTACCTCTTTCTGTTCAGTGTAGACAATATGTCTTACAGTATAAATCATTTTAATGTTAGTTCAATAACAGACAAGAAATATTTATAATAAAATACATTATTCTTCTAGTGCTTGAACATAGGAAAGAAGAAAACTTTATTTCAGAACTAATTATACAGAGAATACTTAACTATTTTTGTAAATTTCATTGTAGATTATTGTCACAGAGCTACCAACACATCTTGGCTGTTGTTTTTGCTGTAAAGGAGATTAATAAAAATCCCCAAATTTTAACAAATATGACACTAGGCTTCAACATTTACAATAACTATTTTCTTCCAAGATATACTTGTATTGCTGCTATGGAACTCCTCTCAACACCAGATGGATTCATCCCTAATTATAAGTGTCACATTCAGAATAATCTGATAGCAGTCATAGGAGGACCAAGTTCTATTGAATTTCTTGATATGGCTACCATTATGACAGCTTACAAGTTTGTGCAGGTAAGTCTTTTGCTTAACATATATTGGGGATTGGGGTCAGTTAACAATATTTTAGTGTTCTAATATTTCATTGTGGGCAATACATTTCACTGAATTGTCTTTTGGATAAATTTTAAAAACAAATGTAGCTTTTATAATCTTAGCTGAACTCTTGAAAGAGCATCCAAACATAACAAGTATAGCTGTATATATAGCAATCTTTCAGGTTCAAATAAGACATGGTATTGTGTGGCTTACCTTTAAACATAGAGGTGACACTCCAGTTCCAGTCTGGAGGTTCAGAGTCTACAGAATGCGGGGCAGCACAGGAAGTCATTGTTATAATAACTGTGGGTGTTATTCTGTGTCCTACTCATGCTTTTTGATCAGTTTTTAGTGTCCTCTTTTTTTCAAAGCTAGTGCAGGCTTTCTACCACAGGTTTCATCGACAGTTTCTGTCAGAAACCATAACTTCTATTTTTCTTAGCTGGACATCACATCTTTGTAGTCCTTGCATGGACAATCTTGAAGCCTTCCCAAATTCCCATACACTAGAGCAACTGGCAAGGCATAGAATAGAATAGAATTGTTTATTGGCCAAGTGTGATTGGACACACAAGGAATTTGTCTTCGTGCAAATGCTTTCAGTGTATATAAAAGAAAAGATACATTCATCAAGAGTCAAGAATTATCATGTACAACACCTAATAATAGTCATAGGGTACAATAAGCAATCAAATCATACTAGGAAATAGTCAATACAAATTGTAAGGATACAAGCGACAAAGTTACAGTCTTATAGTCACAAGTGGGAGAGGATGGGCGATAAGGAGTGATGAGAAGATTAATAGTAATAGTAATGCAGACTTTGTAAATAGTTGGACAGTATTAAGGGAATTATTTGCTTAGAAGAATGATGGTGTTCAGGAAAAAACTGTCCTGTTTTTGTGTGTCTAATTGTTCTGGTATGCAGTGCTCTATAGCATTTTTTTGAGTGTAGGAGTTGAAACAGTATATGTCCGAGATGTGAGGGGTCTGTAAATGTTTTCACAGCCCTCTTTTTGACTCGTGCATTATACAGGTCCTTGATTGAAGGCAGGTTGGTAGTAATTGTTTTTTCTGTAGTCCTAATTACTCTATGGAGTCTATGTCTGTCTTGTTGGGTTGCAGAACCAAACCAGACAGTAATAAAGCTGTAGATGACAGACTCAATAATTCCTCTGTAAAACTGTATCTGCAGCTCCTTGGGCAGTTTGAGTTTTCTGAGTTGGCACAGAAATAACATTCTTTGTTGTGCTTTTTTGATGATGTTTTTGATGTTAGGTATCCATTTTAGGTCTTGTGATATGATAGAACCTAGAAATTGAACCTTGAAGTTCTCTACTGTTGATTCTGTGTTGTCTAGTATTATAAGAGGTGGTAGTATGGGAGGATTTCTTCTAAGTCTACCACCATTTCTAGGTTTTGAGTGTGTTGTTGTGGTGGCCATCCATTCTGATGATGTGTCCCACCCACTTCATCTGATTGTCAACATCCAGCTTCAGTATCCAACTAAAAGTCCAGGACTGTTTCATTTCTGAGAAGCTTACTGTATATTGAATACATGGCTTAGTAAAGTTGAGATAAAACTATGAGATCCTCAAGTCCCAGTTCATAGTATTAAACAATTATTTTCCCAGCCAACACCCAGGCCTCCACATAGACCAAGTAAACAATTTTCCTTTATTATGGGAACCATCTGCCTCAATTGCACACTTGCTAAGACATCCTTGAAAAGTTTCCAGACTCTCACAAGCTTCTGTGGAGCTGCAGAAGTTTTGTTTCTCTAGTTAATTCATTTGTAACTAACACTTCCCCACCTTTCTCTAATGGCATGTAGAAATGACAAGGCACGTAGCTGCCAAAGTTTCACTCTTGACATGGATAATCAGAGGCTCAATGCTGGTGGGCTCTACATGGCCAGCTTACTAAAAAGTTGTTAGCTGATTAAATTGAAACATTAATTAAATTAAGTTCAGTTAATATTATATAGCATATTAATGAGTAGTATTTAATACAGTTATATTAAAATACACCAAAGACCCACAATTTATGGTGTGACTGGTATTTTTCATCACCTTGTTTGTTTTAGGTTGCATATAGTTCTGCCCCAGAGACAAATAGCACCATGCAAAGTCATTTCTTTTACTGGATGCTCCCAAAGGTCGATCATCAGTATCATGGACTTCTCCAACTCTTTTTGCATTTTGGTTGGACCTGGATTGGGATTTTGTACCTTAATGTCGGCAACATAGCTGAGAACTTGCTGAGGAATGTTATTCCCATGTTTTCCAGAAGTGGGATCTGTTTTGAATTTATAGAAAAAATATCAAATGGATTTCTCAGTGAGGATGAGAAGACAATGCATGCATCATACAATATTTTAAGTGTTGTTTTGAAGAGTACTACTAAAATAGTGATGTTTCTGGGGGGATTTCAGAGTGTGCTAAATTTAAGGGCTTTGCTCAGAATTTCAGAATATAATGATATGCCATATAACCCCAAGGTTTGGTTTATGACAGCAGAGGTAGATTTCTCGTCTGTTCCTTTCCAAAGATATTGGGATCTTAATTTCATTCATGGCTCTATGACACTTGCAATACACTCAAAACAAGTGTCGGCTTTCCAGAAATTTGTTCAGATGAGGAGCCCGGTTTTAGATAAGGAAGATGGATTTCTAATTCAGTTCTGGCAACAGATGTTTAATTGTTTGCTCCAATCTTCCATCGCAGACAAAGAGGATGACAATATCTGCACTGGGGAAGAGAAACTAGAGACTCTCCCTGCATCTGTGTTTGAAACCAGCATGACTGCCCATAGCTACAGTATCTACAATGCTGTCTATGCGATTGCACATGCTTTGCATACCATGTATTATTTCCAAGGCCAACAAAGAACAATGATGAGAGAGAATCTCCTTAGTCAACAGTCATGGATGGTAAGGAGAATAATTAGGACATTCCACTAGGTATATTGAAACAGTAACATAGGATAGGTATCAGCATTTTCATTTTTGAGCTGCTTGGATATGTAGTGACCTCTAGTAATTTTCACTATTTATATTCAATGAAATTATTATTAATTTCATATTATTAATTACATATTATTAATATGTATTACATTATGTATTAAAACGATAGCCCAATAGTCTTTCCTATTAGATCTGAATTCTATAATCTGAATTACTTCTTCAGAAATGAGGTAATTCTAGATATTTGTGCTATTTTTCCTATTTTAAAGTATTGAACAAATAAGTATATTAGGTTATTATGAATTAGGAACCCCAAGACCTCTCATATTTGTCTTATTAACAATAAATTCTTCCAATTTATTATTTGTCCATGGAATATCTTATTATCATAAAAGTCTTCTTAAAAATAGATATTCAGTAAGAAGGCAAGAAGTAGAAAGGGTAAACATCAGCTTATTTTTTTGTGTGTGTTTGATCCAGATATTCAGTAGATTACTTATTACTGTATTGTCTATTATAATTTTTGTATTTTTGATAAATAGTTAGACTTACTTAATGATGCATTATGTCATCTTTATACAATTGATTCTTTTTCAATATATGGCATTATTCTTTGCATAAAAATATTGTTTCACAGATATTCACTTCTATAAGTGTAAATATCTCACAAGTCATATTATGGAATTAGTGAACATTTTTATTTGCTAAGTTATTATTATAATTTTTTGAAAGAGAACTTTAGTTACTGACAGTAACTAAATATATATGTCTTCACTTCTTTGACTACTGCTTAGCTCCACCGCTTTCTACAAAGTATATCATTTAACAATAGTGCTGGAGAAAAAATTTATTTTGACCAGAATGGTGAATTGCTGGGTGGACTTGACATAATAAACTGGATCACTTCCTCAAACCAGACCTTTCTCAGAAAGATAGTTGGAAAGATAGATCCATGGGCAACCACCAACAAACATTTGATTATTTATGAACATGATGTGGTTTGGCCCAGCTTGTTTAATCAGGTAGAGTTCATGTTCTTTTGACTCATGTTGCATTTCTTTCCCCACTTTATCCCCACTGTTCCAAAAGTGTTATACAGCTCAAACTTTAATGTGAATGGCACAGATATTCAGACATGTGAATTTTTTTTTGTTTTGTTTTGCTTGTAATCCTTGTGCTCAGTATAATTATATGGAAAACAATGAGTCCTTCAGAAAGACAGGGATGGTTTGTCATCTGCTTCTTTCTTAGTTTCTAGTAATGGAAAGACTTGGAAATTATGATGCAAATTCTTATTCTAGCACCATTGTAATCCATTCATCCAATGAATATTAATATGCTTCCTATATAAGAAATAAAACTATTAATGGCGATTTGTGGCCCCATTGCAAATATCAGAGAGTTTGGTCCACAAAATGTAATTCATTGTAGGGTACCAATCTCTGGACAATCTCATTAACAAACTCTGTTGGATTAAAAAAATTGCATGCTGACCAATAAATGCAACAATATAGTAAATTTATTTCCTAAGACTCAGCATATTCCTACATGATCACATTGAAGATATTAAAAAATGGATCAGTCTGGTGTAGCAGTTAAGAAATCAGGTTGGAAACATGGCAACCATGAGTTCCAGTTCCATCTTAGAGAAAGGCCAGTGGGGTGAGCTTTGACCAATTACCTTTTCTCAACCTTAGAAAGGAAGCAGTGGCAAACCAATTCTTAAAATATTGTCAAGAAAACTGCAGGGACTTGTCCAACTACTATTTATGAACCAGACACAATTGAAAGAAGGGAAAAAAAGAAATCATATAATCCTATAATCACGGGTGCAAATTTTTTAACTACTGGTTCTGTGGGCATGGCTAGGTGGGCATGGTCAGGTAAGCATGGCCAGGTGGTCATGTGACTGGGTGGGTGTAGTTTTTTTGGCCTACTGGGCCTCAGGGAAACCTCCTGGAAGCAAAAATGGGGCAGGAGTGGGCTGCCCCCCCTGCACCCCATTTTTGCTTCCAGTGGGCAAAAAAATAAAAAAAATAAAAAAATAACCTCCTGGGCCTCAGGAAAGCCTTCTGGGCAAAGCAGTACAACAGTGAGGGTGGGGGGAATCAGCTGTGCCATGTGATTTAGATTAGCTAGAAAGCAAGAACTGTTTGCTCCCAGCTGATTTTTGCAGCTACCGGTTTGCCCAAAACTGGCCCAAACCAGTAAAATCCCATCCTTGCCTATAATCCTATTTTATACTGCAGTATTCTGTTCTGACCCAGCTTCCCAAACATGACAAACCCTCTGATGTGAACTCAAAAGATTCCTTTACAGTAGAACCTCTGGTCACGAACACTTCTGACCACAACCAAATCAGATTCTGACCCAAAGAATAATAAAATTTTTGAATCTGGTCATGAACACATACTGGGGTGATGATCAAACACAACCCCTGACTCAGAAATTCCTGAAGATGAAACATTAGAAGATGAAGGAGTCACCAAACTTATGGAACAAATTATGGTCGTGGCCAGAAGTTCTACTGTATTAGGAATGCTGGCAGCCCCGGCAAAACATTTATCTTGCAGGGCTAACAAGTCCATCCGGCTTGAAGATGAATAGTTATCTGCCACACCTATTCATCTCTGCCCTCTACCTTTTATCCCCAGAGCTAGGTTGGAGCCTCACTAACAGTGGTAGCTCTTCCTTCCCCAGGATTGACCCACAGCTTTCCACTGCTCTCCCCTTCTCTGCCTTCTGTGACTCTCCATCTGAGGGCTGATGGATGGCCCAGGCTCTACCTCTGTCTGTCTCTCTCTGCCACCTCCATTCCCTCTTCCCTTCGGAGCTCCCAGGTTGTCCTGATGCTGACCCTGACTCCTATACCTCCTCCTCCTCTGACTTGGCTGCTGGAAGGGCTGGTAGCCAACAGACCACAGCATATCCTTAAAAAATGGTAGATTCTCCTTGAATCAATTGTTCAACCTGGCAATTGAAAATATTTCCAGATCTCCAATATTTGAAATGTCCTATTTTCTCTGTTGAAACATCTTTTTTTTTCTTTTTCTGGAAAGGAACAGCCTGTTTCACTTTGTAATGAGAAATGCAATCCAGGTTACCGCAAGGCCAAGATTGAAGGGCAATCATTTTGTTGCTATAACTGCACTCGATGCCCAGAAGGAAAGATCACAAATCAGATAGGTAAGAGATCCCAAGAAAGACATTGGCTGTATCTGAACATTTGGATATCAAAGTATGTTCAATTGATTTAAGATTCTTCTTAAAATTTCTTTTAAGTTTAGCCAGTTTTTCAAAAAAGCAAACAAAAATCCACTTCCAAAATATTGTTTTTGTAGTTTCTCTTATACACAAGCTGTTCCTTTTCTCCTGAGTTCTACATTAATTATTAAAATATAATTAATGTGTGATTATAAATATAATCACAATGTGTGAACTAGAAAAAAAAAGGTCATATAAATGGACAGTTTATTCATCTTAATCAACAACATCTATACTAACAAATCATACCATGAGACAAAGTCATAATACATTTATTTTTTTAAAAAAATCTGAAATACGAAATAGGGAGGGCTCAAAAATATGAACAGAGGTAGATGCAAGCATTTCATATTGACTCATCAGTACCTATATTACAATAACACAGTTAAAATCAGTCCAAATATAGGATTTAGCAAGAGCATTAATAAAACCTATAACATAAAGCAACCAATGGAAAGCAACCAATGGAAAGCCTTACATCCACGGAGGCATAGATTGACATAAAGCTGTTTCTGCATGCACAAGGGAGGCTTCAAATGGTTAATGGTGACTGTATATTTTATTTATCAGATCTAGATGACTGTTTCCAGTGCTCAGAAGATGAATATCCAAACAACAAGCAGGATTTATGCATGGCAAAAGATATAAGTTACTTAGCTTATGAAGAACCTTTGGGGACCACCTTAGTGACTTTGGCTCTTGTGCTTTCTTTTATCACAATATTGGTGTTAGGAATCTTCAGGAAGTATCACAACACTCCAATTATCAAAGCCAACAACCGCAGCCTCTCCTATACCCTCCTCCTCTCCCTTCTCCTCTCCTTTCTTTGCTCTCTACTTTTCATTGGTCAACCCATGAAGGTGACTTGTCTCCTTCGACAGACTTCTTTTGGGATGATCTTCACTGTAGCTGTTTCTTGTATGTTGGCCAAAACTATAACTGTGGTGTTTGCGTTCATGGCCACCAAGCCAGGATCACGGATGAGGACATGGGTTGGGAAAACTCTATCCCTTTCCATTGTTCTCTCCTGCTCCTTTATTCAATTTCTTCTTTGTACTGTGTGGTTAGCAACCTCACCCCCTTTCCCAGACATGGATAATCATTCCTTCATTTCTGAAATCATTGTGGAATGCAATGAAGGGTCAGTTGTCATGTTTTATAGTGTTTTGTCTTTTATGGGTTTCCTGGCTATAGTCAGTTTTATTGCAGCTTTCCTAGCTAGGAAGTTACCAGACACTTTCCAGGAAACCAAATCTATCACATTCAGCATGCTGATTTTTTGCAGTGTCTGGTTGTCCTTTGTGCCAGCCTACATGAGCACCAAAGGCAAATACATGGTAGCTGTGGAGATCTTCTCCCTCCTGGCCTCCAGCACTGGGCTTTTGGCTTGTGTCTTTTCCCCCAAATGCTACATTATCATCATGAGGCCTCATCTGAATAAAAAGGAGCATCTCATAAAGAGAATTATTTAAGCAATCTTGCCTTTTGTATTTAGCCAACATGGGAGTGGCATAATGAGACAAATCCCTTGAGGCATCAATTCTGAGGGGTTCTTTAAAGATCAGATAGTCTAATTTCATGGTGCTTGAAACAGATCCAGAGCATCAGCCAAAGATATAACTATTATGTACTGGAGTTTGCAATGGGTTTGCTGTATTTATGTAATGTTCTGAATAAAATGAACCTAGTTCATTAGTTGGTGCAGTGGTATATGAGGAAATTATGAATATGGATATAGACTCTGAGTTACAGCAGCTATAGAAACTACAATAAGGCAAATGTGGCTATCATGGCATAATTAGCATAATTGGAAGTAGTCCTGGCTGAAATCATATATTTGTTCTTTAGGGTCTATACTTAGCTGAGCATGCTTTAAATACAAAGTTTATTCACAGGATTTACAGGCAAATGCCAAAATCCAGAAATGCTACTAAGATTTTAAAGAAAATTGTATGCTATAACAAGACATTTTCAACCCCCCATTTGTATTATGTTTGACTTTAAATACTTTTTTTTTATTCTACATCTTTTCTTGCAGCAAGTCTTTGTGTTAATGTTCAGGTATGATTCTTAGATAGATAATTAATCTTTTAATAGTGGGTTTTCAGATGAATGGAATTGTTGAAATAAATGGAAACAAAAGGAATTGTGAGGGAATGTAGTCTGGATTCCCAGGAGGGAATGAGTGCATTCCAGAAAAGTAAGAGACAAATCAATTCAGATAGTTTGTGTGATAGTTAAAGGGTAAAGACAACTCCTCCTTAATAATTCCCAGAGCATATGTTTTATAGGGATGGTAATTTGCCTTACTTTGGTAAGATTCTGTCTATAAATAAGGAACATTAAAAAAATTAAAAATTGCTTGGAGAAAATGCATGCCTTTCTTGGTTTTTGGAATCTGGCAGGAATGTGTCATTGCCTTGAAGGTTCAGCCTGTTGAATATCTTAGTAGAACATACTCATGGGAATCTGTTGAGTCTGTTCTCAAGATGCCAGTCTTCTTCCTGGCATTTGGCACCCTAAAATTGTCCCCCCATTTTGATCTATTTCTTCTCACTAAGAATATTGGTCTCTTGATGAAAAGTAGGTATCAGAAGGTTGGAAACAATTCCAAGAACCTTTACTTATGAAAATGTAATCTTTCATCATGTATCACTTTTGCATATGCATGCTTGCTTGCATCATTTCCCCTCCTTTTCTGAAATATATAAATATCAATTCATCTCTTTTATTTGCAAGAGTGCGTCTCACAATCCTTTTGGTGGGGTCCCCTCAAGAACATATTGTTTTTATAATAAATACTGCAGTGAGTTTCCATTATTCTGTGTTCTGATTTGGCAGAAGCAACTCTGTCTTTGTGTAGTTTATTAGCTGGGACAGCTTCAACAACCTCAACAGACCAACTTTTAGGTGGAATTGATATCCTGTATCTGCTGTTGTGTGTCTAATGTCCAATCCAGTTTCTGTATCTTCTTCTTATTCAGATTTGCTGACTGAACTTGACAGAAAACTACATTTCACACAATAATTTTTCTGCCGAGAAATGTCAGCATGTTGGTCTGGTCAATTTTTTAAACAATTTGCATTGCCATTGAAATTAAGATTTACAAAAATCATCAGGTTAAAATTTTAAGTGGCTTGATAGAACCAACACTAACAAGAATTGAAATGTTGAGTACATATATAGTTACACATTTTTAAGGAGGTTCCATGCCATGATAAACATACTAGTCTCACATTTCTCTTTTATATCCTATAGCTTTTATTTCAATTGTACGAGGAGAGACTGAACAAGAATTAAGAGATTCTGTAATCATAGTGACCCTAATGATTTGGCTATAATTTTGTTTGACTTTAACATAAGTCTCCATAAACATGAATACTTCAAATACTTCAAAATTAGTCCATTCCTTTTATATTGGTGTGGGTGTGTGGGTGAGTATGTGTGCGCACACACACACGTGTGTGTGTGCGTGTGCATGTGTCTATGTATGGATATATATTCACTATACATTTGTGTGTATATCTTTCTGTAATATACAGAATGTGTCTTAGTGAGTTTCAGTAATGGAAGTTATATTTATTGCTAAGCAGAAAACTCTTCTGAAATGGACTCTGGAAATTCAACATATTATTTTCTATCATAAAAATGATCCATAAGAAAAAAAAATCTTCCTTTTCTTCTATGCAAGAAGGTAATTTGCTTTTTTTTTTTAAAAAAAAAAATGACACAACCCTCTCTGAAATTCAAGAGAATTATGAAGTCCTTTTCAAGTCTACCTGCCATTCATACTTTTAAAATGTTGTACTATTTTCTGGTGGTTGTATTGGGAAAAGATGTCTTGATATTAGTTCCTGCAATAATTGTAACCAGATTATTTGAAGCATCATACTTATAGTTAAGAAAGATTTTTTTCCCATTAGAAAGACAATGGGACAAGTGAGACAAGAGCAGTCCAGAGTTCCATAAAATTATCTCCTTCTCTCTCTCTCTCCACCCCTCTCTCTCTCTCCCCTCTCTCATATATATACACACATACATACATATACACACACACACACCCCTACACTTACACCCACCCACAAACACACACAGACAGTATATATGTATATGCATATATAAATAGGACCTATTTTATATATACTCCAGGCGACATTGGGTAAAAATCAAAGGATTTTAATTCCTTTCATTGTTAGCAAATGCGAAATACCATTCCTGTCTATAAGCAACTAAAAATAAACATAGTATTATCACCAGTATCTTATTTATTTCCTGATTTCTTGGAGCTCACATTGGTGTTCTTATTTGTCTTTTAAGAAGTAGATCTAATTGGTTCATTCGAGATTCCAGAAGTTAGAACACTATTCTAAGACAATGAAAAAAAAAGTTTTCTATCTTATAGTTGTCTATCTGGCAATGATGTTTGAAAAAAAAAAACATCATTTGAGTTTTGGAACATCATTTGAGATTCAGACTTTCTACCCAACAGAAATCCTCCTGGGGCCATAGACTTCTTCTGAGGCTAATTAGAGATTCAGAAAGTCATGGCCACATCATCAGCATAGAAAAGCAGACCCAGCTATTTATTGTTAATATTAGAAGGGTAGCATTCTTTTTTGGTTGGAAATGCAACCTTTTCTACTGCAATGCAAAAAATAGAAACAAGGTTTCCAAGGGAAATTACAGCCATGACAAACAGCCTGGATATCATCCAGTATATCATCCTGTGGGGGAGTTGGACTAGATGACCTACAAGGTCCCTTCCAACTCTGCACACACACACACACACACACACACACACA